TACCACGAGGCCATTTATTCCGGACGGCTTCACCTACGATAAAGACTACATCTCCTTCGTCAATGGGTTGCGCTTCGTCATGCCATTTAGTTCGTCGAGCCACCACCGGCAGATATTCCCGGATCCATCTCGTCCAAAAGAGATCCAGAACATAGCGGCATAGATTCCATCCGTTTCGTAGTGCCTCACCTTCTGTTGTAGGCACTTTCTCCTGCTGCTTGACTCCATTCGAGCTCAGGAGAATGAAGTGATTCGGAGTTAATGCCTCCTGGTCCGCTGTCTCCAGTGGCACGTACGTCAACGGTCTGGAGTTAACCATTGACTCCGCTTCACAAAGTATCGATTGGAATACTTCTTCCGAAGGCGTACGGGAAAGGTTAATTGACTCCATCGCTATTTTTACCGCTCTGACCATCCTTTCCCACGCACCGCCCATGTGCGGGGAAGACGGTGGGATGAAGAACCATCGGGTGTTGGCATCGGTGAATGTTTGTGCCAGCTCTTGATTCATATCGGCCAATTAACGGGCCAGCTCACGACTGGCGGCCACGAAATTCGTTCCGTGGTCTGTATAAATTTGCGTTGGTGCGCCGCGACGCGCGATGAATCGCCGTACTGCCAGTTTACATGATTCCGTTGTCAAAGACGCAGCTATCTCCAGGTGTACCGCTCTAATTACCAAGCACGTAAAGAGTGCCACCCAACGTTTCACTTGACTTCTGCCTATCTTGATCAGATATGGCCCAAAATAGTCGATGCCGACCAGCGAGAATGGACGGATGAACGGCGTTACTCGCGTTTCAGCGAGAGGCGCCATCCGGGGTACTTCAGGTCGTGCTTTGTAGACAATGCACCATTGACACCTTTTTGCAACTTTGCGTACCACCGTCCGAAGAGATGAGATGTGATACCGCTGACGAATTTCGTTGACCACCGTTTCGCTGTTGATGTGGCCAAATCGTCTGTGGTACCAGTCTACCAAAAGCTCCGTCACACGATCATTTTTCGGCGGAATGACTGGATATTTCGCATCGTATGTAGCCAGGGGGGAAGATTCTGTCTGACCTTCCATACGAACTACTCCAAATTCATCTAAAAACGGCGATAAACGTCGAATCGGACTATTTTTCGCCAGTTTCGGTGCCTGCCTTCCATTTACCCTTTTCGTTGCCTTTAACACCTCTATCTCATCGACATATTCTCTTGCTTGTGCAAGCCGCCACTAAGCCCTCTCTGCCCGAACTAGATCTTCCTGCTTCAATGCACGATTGACCTGCGTTGCTCCTTGCTTGCCGAACTCGAAATAACGATCCATAAAGGAGTACACATATGCCGTGGCTCGGAGCATTCGTTCCCACTTCGAGAAGCGATCACTTCTGATACATGGTTGTATCCACGCCGTTCGGTGCACATGTATGGCGCGTAATTCTTCGTCAGTGATGACTGATGGCGTCTGCTGTTGTGGCCACTCATTCTCCGATTGATAAAGAAAATCTGGTCCGGTGAACCAACGGCTATCCGAATGAAAAATAGGGCCCTTTCCCCATTTCGTGGCCTCATCTGCAACGTTGAGTTTGGTGGGTATCCAGCGCCACTCATCTGACTGCGTTTCTTCCAGGATTTCGCCAATTCAAACAGCAACGTACTGGCGATATTTTCCAGCATCTGAGTTGATCCAGGACAGAACTGTTCTGGAGTCACTCCAGAAGAATCTACGACCCACGGGAATTGTATGGTACTCGACGATGGATTTCGCTAAACGGCTCCCAATGACCGCCGCTTGGATTTCCAACCTGGGAATTGATAGCGGCTTCAATGGTGCCACCTTTGCCTTTGAAGCAACCAAAGAACATCGTGGTTGGTCTCAATCGATGATTCGAAAATATGCGACACAAGCGAAGGCAGATTCGTTTGTATCCACAAAAATATGGAGCTGTAGCGTTCGATAACTGTCTCGATCGTAGTCGGGAAAATACCAGCGCGGAATTCGGGTTTTATTCAATTTTGTTAGTTGTTAAATCCATCGTTCCCAATGCACAAGTATGTCTGCTGGAATGGCATCGTCCCATCCAACTTGTGCTCTCCAAAGGTCTTGGATGATCATCTTGCCATGGATGAGCAGGTTTGATATTAATCCAAGCGGATCGAAAACACTCATAACAAATCTCAGGATTCTCCGCTTCGTTACTATCTTCGTTGACTCTGAGGCCTCCCGGTCGTCATGCAGCTTCACGAAGTACACAAAGACATCATCGTCCGTAAGCCAAGCCATACCGAGGACACGTTCCACTTGGCTTTCCTTGTCGATGCTGAAATCTTTCGTTGAGCCAGCTGTGTCTTCCCCGAGGAACTGCAACACCTTCTTCGAGTTTGATCGCCAGTTTCGTAATTCAAACCCAGCTGTTGACTGCATCATTCTAACCTCCAAAGCCAGTTTGATCATGTCTTCTTCTTCGTCGCAACTGTCCAAATAATCATCCACGTAGTGGTTCTCTATCACCGCTGTCGCCGCTTCCGGGTATGCTTGCATCCACTCAATCGCGTTGGTGTTTTTTACAAAGTTCGCTGAACAGGGCGAACAAGTCGACCCAAAGATGGCCACGTCCATGACATATATGTCAGGCTTCTTCGATGGATCGCTTCTGTAGAGAAAGCGTAGCACATGTCTATCTTCCTCCCTGATCTTCAGTTGATGATACATTTCGCGTACATCACCTGCAATCGCCACCTGTCGCTGTCTGAAACGACACAACACAGCTGGCAATGACGTAAGCAGATCTGGGCCCTTCAAGAGAAAGTCGTTAAGGCACACTCCTTTCACCTTCGCGGCTGCGTCCCAGATGATGCTTACTTTCTCGGGCTTACGTGGATTTGTAACCACTCCGATAGGGAGGTACCATGTACGATGCGGATCGCTTTCTTCCAGCTCCTGAGACGTTGCTTTGTGAGCATATCCTTTGGTCTGATATTCGGCTATCTGCTTCTCCAAACTCGCCTGCAATTCCGGATGTTTCCGTACCCTTCGCTCGAGGCAGATCATGCGTCGTTCAGCCATGTCATAGCTAGACGGTAGCTCCACCATGTCATACCGCCATAACAATCCAGTTTCATAGTGTCCATCCGTTCGCTTGACTGTTGTTTGTCGCAGAATCTCCTTCGCTCGCCGATCTTCTTCTGCTTCCGGCCCACGTTCTACAGAAACTCCAAGATTCTCCATCGCAAAGTAGCTTTTAACTAGGTTGTGGATGTTATTTTCTTCCGTGCTTTTGCAAATGTGGAACACTGCAACCAACGAACCCGCTTTTGAGTTGCCGATTTTTCCGAAGACAGCCCACCCCAATCTCGTTTTCGCTGCAACGACAGTCAAGTTATAGACCGGCCAACGTGAGTAGACGTATCCAAACAAACCAACATGTTGGATTCAACATGGCAGCACATTGACAGGTGTATAACAGTGACAGCTCGTTCGTGTGGTGGATTTAAAAACGCGCGATTTTTTAATGCGTGTTGCAAAATGCATTGCACGTGTAATTTGACTAAAGATGTAAAATTTTTCCTTTATTACAATCGTCTGTAAAATCTGTGAAAATAACTAAAAAGTCTATAAATGTCTGTAACAAAAAAAAATGTCACGGAATTTTTTTTAAAAAGAAATCTGTAAATTCATAGACATGTCTGCAAATCTAGCATCCATGATTGCAACTATACCAGTTATACTACTTAGCAAACACAAAAAGAGGTCAACTTTATGTAAGTAGTTTTCCACAAATGTTATGTGCTAACGTCCAGTACAATTTAAACAAAAAAATGGCTATCTTCAGTACAGAATGATTAAATTTTAAAATGCCATGGTAATAGAATTATGGCTAACGTCTATTATGGCAACCGTATAGCCTGGGAATCATCTTCATGGCAGTCATCTTTATGTCAATCGTTATGTCAAGCATCCGTATAACTAATATATTCATGGCATTTGTCTAGACATTTTAGGGTAAAAAAAAGATCATGTCAATCAGGGCTATTGATTTGTATATAAAAACAAACAATGATAAAAACAACTATTAATGTTTACACGCGCAAGGGTGATTGTACGTTCTAAATACGACCGGTTAACAACTCCGTTTCTCATTATATTTATGTAACCTGTTCCCTTCAAATATGCATAACTGAATGACATTCTTAATCGATGGATATTTTTTACTCCTTTTGATGACATTTAAATTCCTTAACCAGCTCACTGTGCACAACAAACATTCACGCAAGTCCTCTTTATCGCCTACAATCCATTCAAAAGTCAAGGTCTGAATTCCTGTTTTTCACCCACCGCATCACCACATCACCCGAAACCCGTCTGCCCGGTGAATCGGGTCCAAAATGCGATTTCCAACTAGGTAGGAGGACGTGTTTTTGTTCATATTTAATATACTCCATTCAGCCGTACTGGAGCGGTTGCTCTTGGGTCGGGTGCATTATCTGCGAATTTTGTTTTCACTGCTCCGTTTATTCGCCTCTTCCGGCATATGGATTTCACGTCTGAAGAGGTTTTCAACCTTTGAAGTCACAAAAAATGCAATCGATCCAGACGAACCGGTTCGGCATTGTAGCACTAATATTTACCCTAAATTTTATTATTTTCTCGTGTACCAACATCCCCTACTAAACGGTAGATGACTACTATCTACCATGCTGATGGCATTTAGATTGCCCTCAATTAACTCTATAAAGAGACGCAACGAGCGTTAGGCTTTGCCTCTTACATGTACCTGTGCCTAGGATCCCTCTAGCAGCAGAGCTTACGGCTGACTTTGCAATTCTATCTGTTGGTGAAATAAACACTTAGGGGTAATCAATTTATGGCGTGGTAGTTACATGTGAGCTATGATTAACATTCAATTAAAATATTATACTGACATAAACTGTTAATCCGCGATTGAAACCAGATTCCACGGTTTCCAGTTCGAACCAATTAGCGTAACTAAAGGATACCTATCCAATTTCAGATTGACTACACTTTTCGTTACTACATCGATCACCCACAATCAGGTGTCTCGCTGGATCATTGGGAAAACCGACGAGGGGACTACGTCCATGGTGGTTATGGTGTGCTGGAACCTGGAGGATATGTCCGCACCGTACACTACGAAGTTGATGGAAACAGTGGCTTCCGGACGGTGATCAAAACTACTGCCCCAGGTATGTCTCTCGATCTAAGTTCTTGACAAATATAATTAAGCCGAACGTCCATTTGTAGGGAGCTCCTTGCAGTACAACATTCACAGTGGCAAAAAATCGCAACCACCGCAACCGCTGTGGAACGCACAGCCAGTTGCGTTCGTGCAAAACGGTCATAAATCATAGCGCCATCATCCTCTCCCAGTCCAAGTCGAACAAAAAGGGTATCCTACTAGCCCACTGCCTCACACTGTCGATGCCGCCGCAGCAGCCGCCGTCAGCCCCAAAGATCCTCGGTAAACTGCCCCAAATTCAGCCAACCGACCGGTTCGGGACCACGGAGTGATTACGCAATCCAATGCGGCTGCTTTCTTCGAACCCATGCCCCCTCGAGAGCGCCCAGTGCATTCATGTTCCACTAATTTCTACCCACTTCTTTCCTCTTGCAGAAAGTCTCCTCAGCTCTGTGGCAGCAGCACCGGGCGACGACGAAACAAATCGAAAACCTACACCGGCGAGGCGTTAATTGTCTGCTGCCATGCTATAACCGTTTATTAGTGTAGATTTATTGTAAATAAATAAAGTAATTTTAGTCGCCAAGCCGAAGCTGGGAAAGAGCAATCGATTTATAATTTCCATTGAAAGCATACGCAGACATTTGCAGACAGTGGATTGCGCCCTAGGGTCTGCCATTATCATTCAGGGGTCAGTCTGAGTATGGGCAGGGAATATTTATGCGTTCGCCACCCGAGTCTCACACTCGTGTCGTCGCTGGACCGGGCGCTATGCACGCACTCTGATGGATAGGTAAATCAACGCTGGGAAGTCAGATCAAATGAGTTGAATCGTTGAGCTTCTATTGAGTGGATACAAACTATAAATTTATGGTGACATGGGAGAACTAACTTTTTGGTCTATTGGCAAACTCAAAGTGAGAGTTCACTTTCTTAATTCGGTGTTTGAAAATGTGTTCAACTTTTTTTTTTTGACGTAGACTACGTCTTACGGGAAGGTACTGGGGGTAAATCGAAAATCTAAAATTGCGACCGTCACGAAAAGGCGTCATTTTTTGAACGCTATAAGCTTTGTCATTTATAGATGAAATTTAAATCCGAATACACCAATCGATAGGAAATACCTTCCGTAAGCTGTTGCAATAAACTTTTTTTTTTCATTTTTTCATAAAAAAAAAAACTGTTTTAAAAATGGACGAATAAAAAGTGATAATTTTATCACTGTTTTCATGAAATAAACGTTCTCCCCAAACCCAGTCCTCATAATCAAGTACAATTTGGTTGCTCATCGTGCTGCTTGAATAAGAAAAGTTATAAAACAGCGCTGCTAATGTGCTTCAGCTCATTTTCGCTTCGAAGCAGCAGCAGCAACAGCAGAAGCAGTAGGAAGGCGATTCCTGTCAAGCGCGCAGAGTTCGAGTTTTGCACCTCGAACCAGCGTTACCAGATTGTTCTAAAGTTTATCGGTATCGAAGGTATTAAAAAATCGGTGTTTATCGGTATTTACTATTTAATTAATGTTATATTTTTGCCGTTTTTGAAAGCAAATTTTTTAACAATGGAGACGACTGGGAATTGAGGGGAATTGCTTTGTTAAATGGCTTTCTCATTCTTAAAACACTCTTTAATTTTTTAATTTAATTTTTAAAATTATCGTTGTCCTCAAATGGTGATCGAAATTGTGACCAAGTAGTTTTTTTTTTTTTTCAATTAACTCTCATTAAATGAAACCAAAATATGGTAAATCAGCCACAACAACGACTAAACTATTGAAAATAACGACAAACAATATTTTCCCTTGAAAAAGGCCACAACCCATGATCGAAATGTCGAGCAGATTACATCGTAGTCGTTGCAGTGTTTTAAGACTGAGAAAGCCGTTAATCAAAGCAAAAATTTTGCTTTTGAACTTTTATCGAAAAATTCCGGAAGAAAACTCCGGGGAATGTTTGAATTAGCTTCTGAACATCCAGAGAAAGACGAAACAAGCAGTCCTGGATGAAGTTTCGGAAATCGGAAGTAAATTTCCAGAAGTAGACATTTCCAGGGAAAGCCAGAAGAAGCTCGGAAAAAGCTTCCTATAGAAGTCGAACAAAAAAAAAACCTTTGGCTTATGGTCAAACTTCCAGAAGAAGACGACAGAAATTTCTAGGAAAATTTATTGAACTTCCTGGAGAAGACGAAATAAACTTCCTGGAGACGCTGACAGAAACTTCCTACGGTAGATTGGAAGAAACATCTGAAGAAAGTCGGAAGCCAGAGCGCTTACGGAACAGTCGAACGAAACAACGGCATAATTCCGGAAGAAAGAGATTCCTGGGGGTTGTTCTAATGATCTAGAAAATTTTCCTGAGTCATAAAACATCCCTGAAGACTCCCAAATTTCCCCTGAAGTTTTCGGAACATTCCTGAAATGTACTTAGGAATATTCCATAATTCCTCGAAACGCCTTAATAGTTCTTGTAATTTTCCTGAAATTAGGGGCTGTTTTGGAGTTCTCTGATCATCCTCGAAGCGCTCGGAACTTCCCTGATTACAATAAGACTACCGGAATATCTCTAATCATCTTTGAAGGTCTCTAGATCTTCTTGAAGATTACGATATCTCTTAAGTTCTTTCACAATTTTCTTGAATTTATTGTAACATCAGAATTGAAGTTCTCTGATCTTCCAGATTTTTTTTTTTACTTTTAAAAGTTATCGACAGTGCCATTAAAAAGCAAAGAACTTCCCATAAAATGTTCTCATAATAATCTAATGTTCATGTAACTTTCCTTACGTTTCCTAAACTTGCATAAGCCCCTGAGGACATTGTTGAAGTTTTCGGAAATTTCTTGAGTTTCTCAGAACTCAGTTCGCTAGACTTTTCTGAAATTTCCGATTTTTCGAATGTTAATAGAAGTTAATGAAACTGTCTTTAATTTATCGAAACTTACACAAAAGTCTGGACTTTTCGGAAGTTTCAGAACTTCTTAAATGTTCCTGCAGCTAGTGTGGATCCGCAATAAAAATCTGATAGCATCTTTGAAGTGCCGGGAAAGTTGAAAAAACTGGCGGGAGAAGATGAAAGAATCATTCGAGCGAAGGCTGAAGAAGCTTCCAAGGTAAGGTGGAAGAAAATTCCAGGGAAAGTTGGATGAAACTTCAGAAAGTTTAAAAGTGAATAAAAACTTCCGGAAGTTAAATAATGCTCAAAAAATATACAAGTCTCTCACAAAAATTTTCTACGAAATTCGAGCGCGGACAGGCAATAATAATTTTGATTATTTAAAAAAAAAATCGGTATAAATCGGTATAATATCTCAAAAATCGGTATTCTGATGAACCTTATCTGTAAATCGGTATCTAATTCGGAAATCGGTATAAATACCGATAAATCGGCATATCTGGCAACGCTGCCTTGAACTTTGCGCGTCGTTCCCGTCGAGATCATTGGCTGCTGGTACCGGCGTCGCCTCAATGGCGCAAGCGCTCCTTGCCTGAATGATAACTACAAATCTCGATTACTTTTCGGAAGGACATATCGCATTTTATCGTCGGTTTGGCATAACTAATAGCTCGCCCCACATACTAACACCGCTAACAGGTTGGGAAAACTTTCCCCTATCTAATGGTAGTACTAGCATGCGTGGGCGAGTTACCAGCTACGCCAAATCGACGATAAAATGCGTTGTTTACAAAAGCTGATACGGTTCTTAGAAAAAGTAATCGAGAAATACTTCTTGGGCTGTGAACCAATTGACGAGTTACATTTAACTCGTGGTTAAACGTGACATTTCGTAAGTTATTTTCAATGTTCGAAAATGCCGGAAATTGTTCAGTTTTCAAACAGAACTCAGCCACGGTTACCAAAATTTAACTTCTAGTCGATCCGAAATAACTACGCTCGTATAGCAGGGTTATTCGATAACTCATCTTTCACTTTTAACCACGAGTTAAATTCAACTCGCCCATTGCGACACAGCCTTGGAAGTAAAAGTAGGGCCATCCATAGATTACGTATATTTTTGACCACCCCCTTGGAGCGTGTTTTGCAATACACCTAATACATGGAAGGTCCTAACTTCTGAAACCCCTCTCCTCCCTCAACTACTACGTTATTTATGAAAGTACCCTAATCATTGAGCAACACTGAAAATTAGCAGCTTACACCACACAAAATGGGTTGGACATTTATGCGAAATTTTGGTATTGATCATGAATATTTGGCGATCAGAACATTTTAGCTAGAATTCCTTCCATTTAATTATCAGTACATCTTTAATCTATTGATTGAATTAAAAAAAAATCTTGATATGGTTTTTTAAGATTTCGTGCGTTTTGTGAACGCACATTCATTATTTTGCATAAGAAAACGGGAACGGGGTGTTTCTGTGGTGATAAGAAGGATTTTCCTACACAGATTGCAGTTTTCTGTTCCAAGCACTGAAATTATCAGACGGTTCCTCTATTTATGCTTTTAGATTAGCTATGAAAGTCCCTTCTACTTGGAAAATTAGGCTATAGAACGGTTTATACAACCCCAGTTTTTTTTGCTGATGGGGCGAGGCATAGCCAGCCATTCGATTGCATAATTCTTCAAGTAGGAGGGACTTGCAATGCTTATCTCTTAGCATAAATAGAGGTACCGTCGAGTTTTTTCAGTGCTAGGTTCTGAAATTCGAAAGTCAGCGTTCAAAAGGGCCTACTTGTAATGTTCGATTATCTTCGTCGATTTTTTGTTTACATGGCTACAGCAAAGCAAAACAATTCAATCTGAACATTTCATTAGGTCCTAAGTAACACTGACAAGATTCTCTTCGTCGACTTTCTCCTTGAATCCACTAGGCCCAGGTATTTTCAGCACTCATATCGATAAAAGAAGATTTTATCTCGCATCTAATACAACAAACACAACAAGAAACGATTCTGTGCTCAAGTTATTAAGGCTGTGTTCCATTTGGTGAATGTTTACTTAAATTTGACAGATGGAAAATTTTCAAATAAATCTGCTTATCCAGCAGACTTATTTCTGACAGACAAGGAATCAATTTTGAAAGACGCTTTCTTGAAAATCGGCCGATCAACAATAGGGATTTTCGAACATCTTAATTTATTTTCGAAGTGTCAAATCTAAGTGAAAATTTTCCAAATGGAACACAGCCTTAGTATTTTTTTTTTTTTTATTTTTTCAATCGGTAGATAAAAGATGTACCGAGAACTTATTGAATGGTTTCATGGCTAATTGATATCCCGATCAACTATGAAATGTTGC